CGGAACGTGCGATAGATTATCTTTTCATTGCAATAACGATAGATATCTTACCAATATCCCTATCCCGAACCTACCTCCAATATCCCTAACACAAGAAAAAAAATAGCCACCTTTCATCATGCATTTCCCAACCACCACTAGCGTTGCACTCCTCCTCTCCCTCTCCGCCACCACTCTAGCTTCCCCCCACCCCCAATACCATACGAAGGAGTACAAGCCTGACTACAAGACCGACTACGAGGTCGACTATAAGACCGAATACAAGCAGGAATACAAGCCCGACCCTAAGCACGAATACAAGGCTGAGTACCCAGAGCACAAGGCCGAGTACAAGACCGACGAGTACAAGCATGAGGACCCGAAGCATAAGCACGAATACAAGACCAACGAGTACAAGACTGGATACAAGCGCGACTACCCTGAGTACGAGACCAAGGAGTACAAGCACGAGGACCCGAAGCACAAGCACGAGTACCACGAGGACAAGTACCCGGAGCACAAGCACGAGTACAAGACTACAGAGTACAAGACTGAATACAAGCGCGATTACCCTGCTAAGGACCCTGGGTACGAGACCAACGGCTACGAGACCCACGGTGGATACGAAACCAACGGTGGTTATGAGACCAATGGTGGTTATGAGACCCACGGTGGATACGAAACCAACGGTGACTACCCTACCGACGACTACCACCACGGGTATGAGACCAATGGTGGCTACCCTACCGACGACTACCACCACGGGTATGAACCTGAGTACCCTTGGGACTATTCAGAGTACTACCCTTATTACCGTGCGAACAACCAGGATCCTACTACCCTGACCACGCCTGAGGTTGCTCCCGAGGTCGCTCCTGAAGTCGCCCCAGAGGTCGCCCCTGAAGTCGCTCCTGAAGTTGCCCCTGAAGTCGCCCCAGAGGTCGCCCCTGAAGTTGCTCCTGAAGTCGCTCCTGAAGTTGCCCCTGAAGTCGCCCCAGAGGTTGCTCCAGAGGTCGCTCCTGAAATCCTTCCCGAGTTTCTCCCAGAAGTCAGCCCCGAGATCCTCCCAGAGGTCACTCCTGAAATCCTCCCCGAATTTCTCCCAGAAGTCAGCCCTGAGATCCTCCCAGAGATCCTCCCAGAGGTCGCCCCGGAATCTACCTCTGAGCCCGCCCCGGAATCCACCTCTGAGCCCGCCCCCGAAACAACCTCTGAGCCCGCCCCCGAAACAACCTCTGAGCCCGCCCCCGAAACAACCTCTGAGCCCGCCCCCGTCCCAACCCCCCAGCTGCCAGTCATGTGCGCCAGGATGTGCTCGCCTGCACCCATGACGTGCGGTGAGGGATGGAGCAACTGGAGGAGTGGAGTAAGTTTACTTTCCTTCTTAATTCCTTCATGAAGAAGGGAAGATGAACACAAATGCTAACGTCTACAACAGTCGTGCTGGATGTGCTGTAAGTAAGCGCATAACTACAGAATAAAACGATACGAGGTACATGTCAAGTAGCTGCGTGGATGATTCGGTTCGCAGTCGGCTTTTAGCTTGGTTAGTTTATGATTTGATGATGTTATGGATAGTTGGAGGGACTGAGTCGTGAGTTCGTAGATGGCAGACCCTGGCCAAGGGACAAGATTGACATTGATATTGACTATTTAATATGGTAAATTGGAAAACAAATAAAAGGGTAATGATGAGGTCACTTTAGTTATGGTAATTTAGCTTATTTTTTCTCTCAAAATATTGAACTTCTGCTGAGTGAAGTTGGAAGTTTGTCCAAGAAAGGGGGTCTTTTTGCTGCGGCAGGTATGCAGGTGGCTCTCTGTTCCTCTTATTCTTTTCCCTTCGGCAAAGACAAACAACAACAAAAATAGGCAAATATAAGCATCGTATTTCAGCTGTAATACTGTTTGATATACACATACCATGCCTGTGTAGATAATTAAGTACGCAATCCAACCGATACACTACACCACATCACCCCTCTCCTACCAAGGCGCGATAAACCCCCACACCAGAACGAGCTAGGTAAAGCCGCACAAGGTGTAGAAATACAGAATACTATGTATCCACACGCCTTGCACGTAAATGACGTTTTTCGGAAGCCATGACTCTCACCCCCCCCCCCCCCCCCGGTTTTTTTTCCACAAATCCCCTCCCCCCCCAAAACAAATAATGGGTGGGAAAATTTTCCGGTTTTTTTGGAAACACCCACCCCCCTCCAAAAAAATTTTTGGGGGTTTCAAAAACCCCAAAAATTTTGGTTTTCCCCGGGTTTAAAATTTATATTAAGGAAACTGTGGGATGGAAAAAAAAAAGGAAAGGGGGGGGGGGGGGTTTTTAATTTTGGGTTTTTCCCCCGGGCCTACCTTCTTTTACCTGGTTTTTGAAAATGGCAGAAACCTTTAACAATAAGGGGGGGCCGAAAAAAATGATCCTAAAAATGGGAAACTTTTTGGCTGGCACAAAAAAGGGATATATATTCCAGTGTCGATCGACTAGCGGGAACATGGCTTGTTTGGGGTGAGGTTTAAGCCTCCCATTACTCTCAGCCTCAACAGCACATTGTAATTGGCGAATATGGGTGATAGTTGGGAATACTTCACGATATCGACTGGAAAATGTGGGTTGAAGAGGAATTTGAGGAAAGCTCCGGGTTTGTACACACGCGCGCGCGTTGGACAGTAAAGTTGACAATTGCAAACAATATCGACGAAACATATATCTCATACTCCGTTTTCACACACATCACCCGTGCGTTCCACTCGTAGGGTTTCAGGTGCACAGCAAGTGTGTAGCAAGAGGTTGGGAAACCGGAACTTGAGGTATAATTTATCCAAGCAACGGCGTTAAACTTGTCTCGTGATACGCAAAGCTCAAGCCGCAGATAAATTGTAACTAGTACAATTATTTACGCAGTCTTGACTGCTCGGATAAGTAGTCTCATTGAAGCATAGGATCATGTGTTTCCAGGTTTTCGCCATCCTACAACGAAGAGATGGCACAAGAGAAACTGCTCCAGCTGCAGGACATGGTCGGGGTCCCAAAAGTTTCTGGAGTGAAATGTACAAAATTCTCAACAGAGCAGCAAACCCACGTTTGATAGTTGTGGCCTACGGTTGATTTTCAAAAAAAAAGACATAGATCACTAGCCCGACTGTTTTGGGAACCAACCAAAGAGGTGATTTGTAGGAAGAAGGCGCAGGCTCAAGATCAGGGAGTTTATATACCCATACGGAACGCGCTGTATCTATAAATACATGGGCGATCAGTTTTCCTTTTTTTTTCAAGTTGTCGGCGAGGAAAAAGTGCGTTGGTGCACATCAGATGATGCCTATGATTTGTAGTTCTGTTTCCCCCCCCTCGTTTTCGCGTAATTTTGTGGACTTTATCAACAGTTTACATGCGTTTTTTTAAGTGGAAGGTAGCTCGAGAGGGGGATAGGGTAATTTACGAAGATGTATGAATCCTTTTTGACCTTGTGCTCGCCGAGATACGTTACTGTGGTATGTAAGTGGGAAAAGTGCGGGCGCTTGGGACGCAACGGAATGTTATGGGAAGTCGGGTCTTGGGGGAGGAGGGTGAT